TTTATAACATGATTGCTTTTCATTAATAGCCACCAAGTTTCCTTAATGAAATTTATTTTCCATCTAGTTTCTCCTAAAACTTCTTTTGTCACTTTCGTAATACAGTTAGCATCTCATTTCGTATAACATTATCTTCGTGGTCAGAGTTCGACTCTCCTTTTACTAATTCCTCCCTAAATAAGTCTATTTTCTCCTAAATTAAATTCCACCACGTAGTTCTTGGACACCTACCAATTTCACTTTTTTTCTTCCATCTCTTTATGCAGACATCCATAACCATGAACTTATGTTGCGTGATCAAACTCTCTCCTAGGATAACCTTACAGTCTTTACACGATCGTCAATCTACCTTTGAAGTCTATCCGGCTTTTATATGATCCACTTTTATAGGTTATTAAGTATTCATCTCACTTTTTTACAGTAGGTGTTTGCCATAACAAAATCTATAATAGCTAGGTCGTAGGCCATAGCAAAATCTATAATAGCTTCACCCATCCCATTTCTTTCCCCGCACTCATATCCCCCATGTACCCCTTCATATCATCTATTATCCTTCCCTACTTGACCATTTAATTCCCCTCCTATAAAAGTCTTCTCTCCATTTGATATGTCTTGGACCAGTCCATCCATGTCCTCCCAGAATTGTCTCTTAATTCAGTCCTCTAGTCCTACCTGTGGGGGCGCATAAGTACCAATTACATTAATTATCTCCTCCCTTAACACAAGTATAATTAATAGGAGCCTATCACCTACTCTCTTGATATTAACTACTTTATCCTTTAAATCTTTGTCTACTATTATGCCTACATCATTTCTATTTTTTATCTTTTCCTATATACTAAAGTTTATACCCATCAATTTCCTTCGCTTTTTTCCCTTTTCGCTTAGTTTCCTGTAGGCAAGCTATGTTTACTCTTATTTGTAAACACTAACTACATACTCCTACCTATTAGAATTATTCCTACATTCCATGGAGCTAGACAAATCATATTCTCTTGGACTAGCTTCTTTACATGCGCTTGTCTAGAATATCACGGGAACCTTTGCCTATTTTTCATCGCAACCAGCAGCACTGCGGCACGTTGCTTTCGAGGAACACCTTAGCTAACCCTTGCTCAGTTCTCACTATACCGGGGTTTCGGTACAACTCATAGCTTATGGGGAATGCCCTAGCATGAGTAGATAATGTAGATTCAGGAATCATGGAAAGTTGCAGTTGTGAAGACGATGAATGATTTGGTTCCTCTCTCTCTCTCTCTCTCTCTCTCTTTCAAGTGTTCAAACATGAGGTTCATGTTCCTAAAAAAAGAGTTAGAGAGAGAGATGGGGACATGGCTTTTATTTTCTAGGGCTTCTTATCTTCCAAGGTCTCTGTCAGTCTCTGATAACAATGAATAGGGTCCTAGAGAGAGAAAGAGTTAGGGGAGGGCAAGAGAGGTGCAATGCCCAAATAGAGGGAGAGATAGAGGGAGGAGGGGGAGTTATTGACGGGTAGGAGGGGTGATGGGGGAGTGTATGGAGAGAAAGGTGGGGGAGGAAGAAGGTTATTTGAGGAGAGAGAGAGAGCGTTACCAAGATAATCAAAAGAAAGAGATAGAGAGAGCTTATGTTGGAAAATGGAGTACTTTGGAGGGAGGAGAGAAAGAGACAACGAGAAAGGAGATAAAGAGGGGGATTTGGGGGTAGAGAGAGAAAGAGGAATTTTGAGGGTAATGAAAGGGAGAAAGAGCATGCTTAGGCTTTAAAGAGAAGATGGCATTCAAAGGTAAGACGGTGTTCAAAAGGGAAGACAATGAATAGATAGATAGATAGAGAGAGAGAGAGAGAGAGAAATACTTTGGGGGCGACGAGAGAGAGAGAGATAAAGAGAAAGGAGATAAAGAGGTGGATTTGGGGGTAGAGAGAGAAAGGGTGATTTTAAGGGTAATGAAAAGGAGAAAGAGCACGTGTAAGCTTCAAAGAGAAGATGGTGTTCTAAGGCAAGGTGGTGTTCAAAAGAGTAGACAGTGAATAGAGAGAGAGAGAGAGAGAGATCAAAGGGAAGAGAGTATTCCTTTCTTGGAATATGGTGGTACCGGTGATATTTTATACCCTCCACAATGCCGTGAAACTCAACTCCACCCAAATCTCTCTGCCTTGACCCTTGCAGATACGCTCCCAACAAGTACAATGTCATCCTCTCTTAATTTTTGTTCCTTCTTTGTTTCTTTACATTTTCCCTTCAAGAGAAATTCCTTTCTCCAATGGTTGCAATTTGCTTGCAATTCTCTTCCATCAGTCCCTTTCCTTGGTTTTGAATGGTGATTTCATTTCCAACTACTAAGTTTGAGAAGCCTGCAACTGCAATTTCCGGAAAACCATTTGATTCAAACCCATTGCATGCAGTTTTTGGTGGTTTTTAGCTAGGCAATTGTATGCTGGTTGTGCTCGGTTTCGTTAACCTTGCTGTAAAATAAGCAATGGTCATTCAAACATGATGTCATTTTACAAAAGCACATTGCATTCTAGATATACATTTTTTTCCATAAAATGGAAGTTAACATAGAGATTTACAAATATGTCTAATGATGGTCGTGATTATATAGAAACTTGAGGAATGTTTTCTATGTAACACAACAGGCGATTATATGCAGGGGCCTTGAGGGGACACACACACACACCACACACACACACACAGAGGGGGTGGGGGAGCTGGAGGGGAGACGATTTCTTTGCAGGTTTGTAGGTGTATGAATGAAATAAAATAAAACTATTTCAGAAGCCTGGGCAAATAGTGAAGTGGCTAAAGAACACATTAAGATGATCTTTTTATGGGCATTAATTAGAGAGGAGTTTAGGGCAAAGGGTCTCATGCATCGATGGTGGAGGTAGTATGCTGCAAACACTAAATGAGAGGGCTAAGTAGGTGCAGAAATATTCACCATTGGGGAGAATTTTGATGACATCTCCATTGGCAACCTGGTCATGTTGACAAGGGAAATATAACAAGTTGCATTTGGAGCAATTTGATGGTGATCAAATGGCGCAATCTGTGGAGGCAAATGCATGGGACCACATTACCAAATCAGGGACTTTAGCATCAGTCTCTAACTCATTTTGCAAAAGGCGCATTAATAAATATTAATACGAGGGATATCAAATGGTGTAATTGTGGACGTAAAGGCAAAGGATTGCATTACGAAATCAGGAGCTTTATCATCAGTTTCTCAGTCAGATGGCAAGAGGGGCATTATGTGATAGGATGGGTTAACAAGGTGACTCCTAGTCTGTGGAGGGTCGCAAACTTTATAGGCAAAATCTAGAGAACATTAGTTCAATGGAGCTTTCTTTCTCAATACTATAACATTCATAGGGATTCCAATAAAAAGGAAGTTGATGTCCTGGCTCAAGATGGAATCTCAAAGATTCTTCACTTCTTTGTAAATCCTGGAATTAGCCTTTCAACCATCATGTCTTTCATCAATAAGAAGTTAGAGTCAGAAAAGAAAAAAGAAAAATAACATAAAAAAGGTTACGAAGAGAAGCAGGTAAGCTCCCATCTCAGTTTCCCTTCCTATGATACGAAAAAACAAATCATACATATACCACTTAAAGAGTCAAAATGTTGTAAAAAACCATAAAACAATCAACCCAAAAAAACGAAAAAATTGTTGATGTAGGAACTTCTTGAGTGCTGAGTAGGTTGCATGTGGGAGAAATTACAGGAATAAAAGCCTTTGCTTCAAGTCAGCTTTTGGGATATCTTGTGCTGGTCCTAATAGGACAGTATTATCGTAGAAAGCATTGCGAAGTTTTCAGTCCACGTATTTAGTTTCTTTCTTGATAGGTTGGGGGTGAACTGGAAACCCGTTAGAGGGATCTTTACTCCACAAACACTCTTTCATGAGGAATTGAATTGACTTGGGCAAGTATCAAAGCAACTTAGGTGAGCTTTTAGCAAAACTGGAGAGTTTCAAAATCATGTCAAGATAAATGCAAATACTAACTTCAGTGTTGATTACAAATACACATGTCGGTATCTACTACGTGTCTAAGAGTCTAACATGTGAGGCTAAGATGCCAGTACAACTAACATGCTTGTACAACTAATGTTAACAGTAATATTATTGTATATATCATGTAAGTTCCTAAAAATAGTTCAAGTTCCTAAAAATAGTTCAAGTTCCTAAAATTGTTCAACTAAATCAAAGGGTCATGCCGATAGTATTGGCACACTCATTCAAACGTCCCTTATTGAGACATCCCATGATTGAAACCCACCGCTTGGGTTACTTAATTTTTCTATTACAAACGTCATCTATTACCTTATATATAGAGTGCCGATTTAGTACATCAATGTCAAAAGTGCGCTCTGGTAGCGTGTTGTCTTCACCTTTAAGTGGTCCAGGAATCAAGCCCTAGGGTGGTAGGTTTGTGAAGGCATAAGTTCTTTTAATGGTTGAAAAAAAATAAAAAATAAAAAAATGAGAGGACAGTGCATGGGTAGGAATCGAACTCCTATCACAAGGTGTTGTGATATCCACTGTACCGCCTAGACCCTGAGGTCGCACGTGTTTGGAACAAGCTCGACACGTATATTTAACGTGTCCGTACATACTCAAAAATAGATGACATCATCAAACACGTATAAGCCAAGTGTCAATGGCGTATCTGGGAATTTTGACACGTCTTAAGTGTTGATACGTGTCGACACGTGACACCAATACATGTCGACACGTGATACCAAAGAAAACTCAAAGTGTCCATGTAACACTAACTAAATTAGAAACATATAAAATGATAAGATTGAAAAATACATACAAACGAAACAATTTTGTATCACTACATGCTTTACAAGAAATAAAGCACAACCTTTAAGTATTGAAAATTATGTCTCCATTGAAAATTATGTCTCCGTAACAACTATCAATGCCCATATCAATAATAAAAGCACTACAAAAGCCATGGCAAGAAGATACCACAAGGAAAATGGAATAAAGAGCAAAAGAAAAGAGATGTACCTTCACAAGCATCAAAGAATTCACCCACTGGCGTCTGTTTCGAAATACACCCCGAGCCACAATTTTCCTCCAGCTCACTATGGCTTGCAACACTAATCGAGTTTTGGGGGTCGAAAAAGTCCTCACAATCAACAACCCGATCCTCTTTCTCCCCATCAACACATAAAGTTCTTGAGGAATCCTGAACTCCAACATGGCCATTTTTAGTTCCATCATCCTCACCAATAATCTGTAAGAAATCGCCAGCCTCATCCACATCATTCAAGACAGAAGTTTCATCCAAGATTTCTGCACCAATTGCATTTTTCTTATGAGAGGCATTCACATCAATTTCCACAACCTCTTTAGCTTCATGACCATTTTCTTTCCTCTTCTCTTGCCCATTGGATTGTGCACTTTCTAGACCATCTCCTTGCAAATAACTCTTAGAAAGGCGAGGACCTCGCCTTTTATGGTTTATTACATATGGTGAAGGAGGAAAAGAAGATGGGGAATCAGGAATAGGAGTTGCCTCTGGGGTTGCATAAAGGGTGGGCAATATGTAACTACGGGGAGGTTTCAGGATTATCTTCTTCTCCAGCTTAGTAGCTGGCGGTTTTGATGAAGAACTCTCAGTGCTATGCTCCAGCAATCTATCTAAAGCAATTGCAGTAAAGGTTGGCATTGCTCATGCATCATCTATTTGGGATGAGGAAGATTGGACCAACTCAAGACCTATAACCCATATAATAACAAGAAAGAGGACCTCTGAGAATCAGATTATCTTTGAAAAACACCTGTCCATCCATAAGTAGACAAAGAGATAGAAACCACAAGAGTAAGTATTCAATTAGAGCGATTAGGACCATAATCCATGATCTAAGTTCCATATTGAAACAGTACAAATGACTTCTCAGGATGGTAATTCTAGCACTAAAGTGGTTGCATAAAACTTGCAACCAATGATTGATTCTAAGGCTTCAAAGCATAAATTTGCAAACATCCAAACAATATTTTCATTTTTGTTTTTCCTGATAAGTTAGAAACTTAAATTTGAAAAAGACCCATCAAAGAAAGTACCACAACCATTTCGTAACCAGGAAGAAAACCCCATCACCCTAGAGACAAATGTTTTACGGTGGGAATAGAGGGTCTTCTCAAATCCAAACCTTCAAAACACTGAGAAGTAGACATGAACAACGCCTAGAACCCAATTCATAAACTTGATAGAAATGAAAGATTTTCTTAAAACACCTAAAAATTTTGAAAGATTCAACCAAACTTTAGAAAACAACCGGACCCCAAATTTCAAAAGGCATAATGGAGAAAAATCCATAACTATGGCACGACCAAATGAACCTATCAAACCCCGTTAACATTTACTCAAAAAAAAACAAAAAAAAGGAAAGAAAGAAAGAAATAAATAAATCCTATCAAACCAAATCCAGAAATATCGATCTAAAATTATTCCACCGCAATTCAATCAAAACCAAGCAAACTAATCAATCAGAAACAGAACCCGTACCAACCCAAGTCGAGAAACCAAAGAATTCAATCAAAACCAAACAAACAACACCCAGAACGCCTGGAAATCATTCAAAATCAGGAACAAGCTAAATTGAGAAATCCCAGCTGAAAGCTGAAACACAGAAGCAGACACATCAACTTCAACAATGAAAAAACCAGTCTCAAAAACCTAACTCTAAAACTAAAGGCCCTTATTAAAAGAGCTCCAACATCAGGAACAGTTCTAAAGGCTCTAGAAAAATTCAGAACGCAGAAAAAAATAATCTTTTGTTAACCAAAAAATAGGAAATAAATTTCCTAACTTCAACTGAGAATGGTTCAGAAAAAATGGAAGGGAAAATGCGTAGAAACAAATAAGAGAGGAAAAATAAGAAACCAAAAGAAAGAATGAAAGCTTATAAAGAAGAAAAGAGAGAACGGAAAAGGAAAGGGAGATAGATGCATACGAGGCCTCTCTGAACACCATCGGGCTTCATCATGACGAACGTCTGCTCCATCTTTTCACAGAGGCAGAGAAGCACACGAGCGAAGAGAGAGATCCAAAGCTGAGATCAAGCGTCGCTCCGTGACCGCTTTATCGAGAGAAAATCCGCATTTTAATCATTTTCTCCCTTTCTTTAGAAATTCAGGAAAAAATATAATTTATTTATCAAAATGAAGAAACAAGTCTTTTATGTTTGGGAAAAGTTTATACTGAGCCGAGGCTCTAATAATCAAATCGGAACGTATCTCCAAATATCATCAAATTGATCATCTCCACAACAAGATGTTTGGACATGAAAAATAAATAAATTGGAACGTATCTCTTTAGAAGAGGTTGTTTTAATGTCCAAATATCATCAAATTGATCATCTCCACGTCAAGATATTTGGACATAAAAAATAAATAAATTTTAATTTTTGAAAATAATGCATCTTGTATCGTAGTTTTGGACAACTTTCAAGATTTTTCAGTTTTCCTATATATGCTTTGAAAACTTTAAATTTTATAACTAAATTTGAAAATATAATATAAGACTATTACAAAATTGTCCAATATCAAATTCATATTTCTTGATACTATTTTAAGATAGGTCTAATTTGATTGTTTAGAGCCTGGGCTCTATACAAACCGCACCCTTTGTATTTTATACCGGATATATGCTCTATAGTTTCCTATATTTCAGATAAACCTCGATTGCTCATTTAATACATATTCAATCCCGGTAGTTCCCTACTAGTGATTTGCACTTTAAGTTAATTATTAATTATAAAAATAAATATTTATTTTTGAAAAATATTTTTAAACGACTTTCATTTATATAGAGAGAGCTTCTAGTAGTACTCTAATTTAATGCATTATGTAAACTTATAGGTCAAACCAAAGCCCAAAAACTTCTTTATTATGTTTTTTTGCTTTTTAATTATATCATTCACTAAATTAGCTTTACTTATACTAATATACATCATTGATTTATAAGTTAACAAATATAATTTGTATTGTTATTAATTATTTTTCTAGCTTTTATATTTTCAGCTATATTATTTTTATAGATATATTATTATTATATTTAACAAAATTTTGGATACTTACATAGCCTTGTTTTGTACTGCCTTATTTTATACATAGAGTTTTTTTCTAATAAGGGTATTTTGGCAATTAGAAATGGTGTGACGCGAAAAATACCCTTTTTAAAAAACCCTACGTATAAAACAAGGTTATACAAGTATCCAAATTTTGTTAAGTACAATACAAAATTTCTCCATAATGTGATCACCCTAACATAACCCATAATAAAATTATAATAAACAAGTATCTATTGCAATCAGAACTACAAAATTTCTCCATAATGTGATCACCCTAACATAACCCATAATAAAATTATAATAAACAAGTATCTATTGCAATCAAAACTAATCACATTGTTGGTTTTTTTCTTTTTTTTCCTCCTTTTATGATAGTAAAATTTTTCTTCTTTTTTTTTGTAATTTTGTTTTGAATTTCAAAAATTATAAAAAAATACATATAGAAAATAAAAGAAATAGAAGAAGAAAAAGAGAAATCATAAAAGATTTTTTTTTTCATTTTTTGTAATTACTAATTATAGCGATACTAGAATTTTTAATTTTTTTATTTACGGATTTGACTTTATTTTGAGGTATTTATTTCTACAAAATAATTTCAATTTTGTTAGTACGTCTATAATTTGTATTTATGAATATTTATAATTATGTTTTTTCTTCTTTTTTATATTTATAATTATATCATTCATTAATATAAATTAAACGGTTTTTACACAAAATATTTTAAAAAAAATTAAAATTGAAAACAAATAACATTAATGATTTCAAATATATGAAAGAAATTTACATGAGATAGGAAGTTACATTTTGTATCATACATTCAACCGCTCACTAAATAAATAAAAAATCATTGGAATATGAAAGAAAATAAAATATAATGTGTGTAAATGGAAGTTATGAAACAGAGAAGTTATGCAACGTGGGGGAGAGAAGTAGAGAAATTTTAAGAAAATTGATTTATTAGGAAAGAAAGAGAGCTGAGTTATGTGAGAATATTGGTGAGGAGAGAGAAGAGAGAGAAAAAATATATGGGAGATTTATTAATAGAGATAAAATAGGAGAGAAAGTGTAAAAAAGTTGATTTATTAGGAGAAAGAGTAGGTACATGAGAATATTGGTGAAGAGAGAGAATAGAGAGAAAAACGTGGGACAATTGTAGTATTATATTAATGTATAGTTTATAATAATTCAATAATTATTATTGAAAATTATAATAAAACTATTTTTTTTTTGTTACTATTAGTATTTATAACTAAATAGTTACAATTGCAGTGTTAAGTATATTTATGACCAAGAGATTATTATTTTCTTAAAAATACACTATACCTGCATGATTCATATATCAAAAAAAATAAATTGCTGCAATTAAACAATGACTATCACATAAAAAATGAAATTTTGCTTAATGCGAAGATGATGATGTAACATTCACCGATCTTCAAGAAATTTTGCATGGGTCCAAGCATGACAACTAATACATTTTATTAGGGTGTATTTTATAATCTGTGTAAGCACCTTGCATAACTTCATTGCACATATAGAACTACAACCGAAAAACAATTAAAATTATTTAGTTGTTATATTAAATACTGCACACACTTCTAAGTAAAATTAATACCGAACAACTCCAATAACTAATAAGCAATTAAATGAAGCCTCATCTAGGTTCTCTCTCAAAGTAGCCAAGACTGCTAGATATACTTTTTTTGCTTCTTCCATGGCATATAGCTAGGCTTCATCTATGGGTTCCTCGAAAAGAAAAGCCAAAAAAAAAAAACCAAAATCCAGACAATATACAATATCAAAAGAAAGTAGGAATCAATATAACTATGTAGAGGAAAAAAATACCTCACATAACTTCATTGAACATATAAAAGTTCAACTGATAAACAATTAAAATTATTTTGTTCTTACATTAAAAACTATACACACACTTCTAAGAAAAATTAATATCAAATAACTCTAATAGCTAATGAGCAGCCAAATGAAAACTCATATAGGTTCTCTCTCAAAGTAGCCAAAGCTACTATATACTTCTTTCTTGCTTATTCCATGATGTGTAGATGGGCTTCATTTGGGTTCCTAGAAAAGAAAAACAAAAAAAAGAAGAAGAAAAAAAATAGAAGCTCAGACGAAATACAATATCAAAATAAAATGGAAATCAACATACTTATGTAGAGGAAAAATGTTGGGTTTATGTGGCCTTTAAAGGCCTTATGAGTGCTTGTAAAATGAAATGATATAGTGAAACATGTACTCAGTGGGAGTATGGTCCCTCGTGGACCATACCATGCAAACGATGTTTGAAGATACCAGATTGTGATTGATGATCTAAGCCAGTCGATTGGGAAAAACACATGTTACCCGGGCATGAAGAACAAACCAAGAAGGGTTCATGGGTTAGCCTTTGATGAGGTCAGAGAATATGTCCGGCTGAGTGAGCTGAGGGATTGTGTGACCTTTGTGTGTGATGGTGGCCTACAGAGACGAGGCCCAAAACCTCATCCCTATGCCATCACACGGCATGCATATCAATAGATCGTTCGGGAAAGCCAGAAAGCCACATTTTAAGATGAAGCGTATGCATGTGCGAGAGATCCCCCTATGCGCCGTAGAGCTGTGGTCGCATCAGGTCTTGGTGCCCTGGATTCGTCTCTAGGGGAGGACTAGTAATCCACAGACTGGGATTACGACCCCTTGGCTCATCGACTAGACTTTGGTGACCCATTAATGAGTCCCTGCTTGAACTGTAGGTCATAAGAAACACTGAGTCAATCTGATAAAGCAACTGTGGTCCGTAGTTAGTTGAAGGTGGAGTGCCTCATGATTGTTGATTCAATTCTTAAACCATATGGATCTATTTCTCATCAAATTAATTTAATTGTATTTGTTTTATGATAATGATTATTTTAGAATTATTATTTAAATTTTTATGAACCTTTGGATATTTTATTTATAATTTTTGGATTTATAAAATTAAAGATATTGATCTTACAATGTTTTAATATTCACTATAAATTATTTTGTTAATTGTAAATGCATAAAAATAATAATCATGGGGGCCCATTGTACACATGGGCCCACCATGTTTCTAGAAGGTGGGGCCTGTTGTACACATGGGCCCACCATGTTTCTAGAAGGCGGGGCCCATGTATGCCTCCCATGGGTGGCACGCCCCATCTCTTTCTACTTTCTATTTTATGGAAGTTTTGTTTTGTGGTCCATATGACCTTATTTTTTGGTAACTTTAAATTGTGACATGTGGTCAAATTATGAATTGAGTATGTATTGACCATATATTGACTTAATATGGAAGTAGATATTGACTTAATACATCTTTGATAGATTTTATAGAAAATATATGTAGAGATGTGTTGTTCTATGGAATGCGCAATATTTAATTAAAATTAATTTAACTTATTTTTTATTGATAGAAAAAAGAATAAGAGCTCATGCGCCTTCCATAATATTGATGGCCCATATATAGAATGGATTGTCCAGACCTTTCACCTCACAAGTCACCATTGATCGACGGTCTATGTTCAATCTCACAAGAAGAGGCATGCCAAGGAAAACCCTAATAAACCCTAATCTTGTTCAAGCCTATAAAAAAAAAATTGTCTCTACCCAAAATCTCTACTCCTTATCTTTCTATCTCTCTCTCATGTTTGATCTCTCTCTCCCACATTGTGAAAAGGGGCTAAGGGATTAGGCTATGGAGTTCTTCTCTCTTCCATCTCTTAACTATAGATTTATGGCTAAGGGTTTTTAGGATTAGTAAAAGAGATTCTATCTCTCTCAAACTAGGTTGTTAAGGGAATTCACTTTGGGTTTGAGTTTCTTATCAAAATGGTTCATGTTCAATTGATGTAATTTGGCCTAAACTTGCTTTCCGGGTTCGAGATTGAAGCAAGATCGTCGATCCCGCTCCATCGAATGGTAGTGACTCGGTGTGGGGTGTAATAAGGCCGGTTGAGGTAATCTCTGACACTCTTTTCTTTTATTTCTTGCAATCTTATTTTTTATTCTCAAGCATGGTGCATAGTTATTTCAATGACATCAAGTTTTAAGATCTTGGTTTTATTGCCATGTTGATTTTATTTTTAAGTATATGTTGTTGTAATAAGACCACCTATAAGTGATCTATTGCCAAAACAAAAGGGGTGATATATATATATATATATATATATATATAT